TGGCCCGGGCACTCAATCTTGAAAGACTTTGCCATGTTGCTCACCAGCTGGCGCGCAACTCTCGATCCCGTCACGCAGCCCGATCTATCCAAGTGGTGCCGTCTGCTGCGTGAACCACTTGACCGCAAGGAAGAGGGTCTTGGCGTGCTTGGCAGACTCTCCAAGCCATTTCAAACTAACATCGTCCAATTCCCGTGTGATAACCTCGGGAAAGTACGTCCTGAGCCTATTCAGCAACTGATGGGGCAATCATTGTATCACCCCACATGCATGCGCGCAGCCTGCCAGGATCCCTTGCGCCGAAGCAACTCCCTTTGAATCGGGTCCACATGCTTGAACTCGTCTGGGTTGCTGATAAACCGAAAGCAATAGTCAACTCAGCCACATCGGAAAATCCAGCTCCCTGGCATGCTGCAGTAACACCCGCAATCGCACCGCCTCGAAACAGTTGCACATGTCGATGAGGTCTGGCTACCTCTGCCGTGCAGTTGTGCTGACATGCAGCATTTGGTGACGTGGCGCCTGGTCGGGGTCCCCAGAACGCATCGGAATGGTGCGATATCTCTCATTGCTTGGTCAACTGTCGCCTGAGCCTGCCCCATATGCGCACCATCGTATTGATCAGCGCGATGAGTCTGTGACCTCCCGAAGGCTTCGGGAGCCCCACAAGCACCGTGTAGATAGAGTCTCTGGTCTGGGCACGCGCACAGCACCTTCAGCGCATGAACACTTGTGCAGGGGTATCCAGTCCAATGTCTGAAACCATCCCTAAAGCCCTGGGGTGTAGCGAACTTGCCCCAATGCCGTCTTGAGGCTAAATGCACGAATCACTTCTCTCACTCCACGTCCAGCGATGGGCGGTAGCTGCTGCCGCGCATCCCGATCTGGGGGTCGCATGGGCGCATCATCTTGGTAAATGGTCCAGGTCTCCTTCCAATGCTCCAGGCAGTCGTCCGCCATCTGACGCGGCTGGTCTCGCGCGCCCGTGAATGTCAACGTCTCTTGCAGCGCGCGAACTTGGGAAAACGACGGGCTTGGCCTGCCCCCGCGACAAAAGACTGATGCGCCCACTTAGTCCATTCACTGGCCTGCAACTGGCCGGTTACATCAATCACCCTGTCGGCCCGGGCAATAACTGCGTCGGCCTTCTCCGGCAATCAAGCGAATATAAACATCCAAATAGATCGCCCAAGTACTGCCGCTCTTCACGACCCCCCAAATCGCAAACCCACCTGGCTCTCGAGACTCGGCGGCGCAATCCTTGCATGTCCCAGGCAGGCTTCGCCAGCAGCATGGCCTCCTTGTCTGGGTCGTGAGCAAAGCGGCCATGCTCGCCCATAGCATTGGGCAGTAACCTAGCATGAAAAAACTGTTCGCCCAAAGATCGCCCCATGCACCTTGTCATCCCCAGGTTCATGGATCGCATGTGTCGGAAACATATGCAAAACACTCAGTATGATTGAAGATGTCTTGGTTCCTCCATGGCAACGGGCTTCATCCGCTTCCGCTTGAATTTGGGTACCCCAGCTTGGCCTTGGGCCTGTGCCCGTGCCTTCGGATTCATGATGTCGTGACTGCCCAGCAGCACATACTCTACCGCGCGCAGGGCGACGCCCCAAGCATGTGCCAGGCTTTCGGCATTGCATGCGCCAGCTCGGTGCCACCCTTGCGTAGGCGGGCATCGAGCACACCCTGGCGCTGGCAAAAGGGGAATGCCACGTGGTTCAACAGGGGCTCGCACCCAACGCTCGCGCTCGGTCAGATGCATGCCTAGCTGTGCTGGCAAGTTCGGGTACGTGTGTGAAGCCTCCTGGACCTCGCGCTGCTGCTGCCATGCCGTCAAACTGGTCGCTATCGCGAAGAGTCACGGGTGATTCCTGGCTTGGCGGCATGGCAGGTAGGGCCAGGTGATGCAACCTGGAGCCCATGCGCTGAGTTGGCCCAATACTCAAGCAACTGCGGGTCCATGTCCCGGCCTCCTCCTATTACCCACCGTCTTCGTTGCGCGTTCAGCTGCGTCGCGTACTTAGCGAGCGTAGTGAGAATGCGCGCGTTCTCTTCGTTCAGTCCAACTGAATCGACTAGATAAGCCGAGATAAGAACTAGCTCCCCAGCAGGTCCCCAAGCAGCATGGGAGGCAAGAGCTCTGCCAGGGACCAGCTCGGGCGTGGCAAGGTCTGGCCCAACGCCCGTCCTGATGTGCTTGGGCGCTATCACCGCGAGGCTACCGTAGAGGCGCCCCCCCGTCCTGTGCTGGGCGCTGCCACCCAAACTCCAGCAACGCCCGCCTTGGCCGCATGATGCTGCGTCAGGTAAGCGTTCCGCTGGTGCATGATGCTCCTGGATGAGCACTATGCTGCCCATCGTATCAAGCGCAGTCAGCATGTCTTTGATCACCCCTTGCGATGACACATTGACCGTTGTAATACCGTTCACCTTCGGCACACAAGAAGCTTTCCAGAACCTGGGCCATGGCAAAGCAGAAACACGAGGTAAAGCCCGCCGCCAAACCTACCGCCATAAACTCGGGAGAATGACGCACAAAGCGCGCTCCTGGAGGCAAGGCCATCATTATCTGCACCATTCGGCATCGCATCAGGGTCCAGAGAAGTGAACGGCTCGTTGGAATGCCACCCGCAGTCGGGACGACAGCACGTGGGGAGGCAATGGGACCGAAGTCTTCCTCCGTCGGGGCCAAACCAGCCTGTTGCAGCCCTAATGCCCCCCCAAATAGCGACGAGGTAGAACGGGGGCCCGTGCCGCATCCACGTGCAGCGGCCGTTGGACAGGTAATAAGCATAGCAGCCGCGCGCATCGCCAGCGGCTCGGGAGCTTGACTCACAAGGCGCGCCCCTTGGGGAAGGGACATCATTATCCGCGCCATGCAGCAGTGTGCCAAGTGAGCCTGTCCGCAGAGCTTGGCAGCCCGTGCTGCAGAAAAAACTGATGTGCCCCCACTGGTGACAGCCGTAGTCCTGGTATCTGTATCCATAGGCGTCGACCAGCCCAAGAACGTGCATGCCGCTCTCGGCGGGGCCGGACTTGCCTCCCACTGCCCAGGTGCAACTAAAAATCATTCACGCAGTCAGCCAGGCCCCTTGGGAGGACACAAGCTCTAGTGCTGCCCGCGCAGTGGCGTGCCCCAAGAACCATGAGCACACTGCCCGCGCTAAGAACCATTCACGCACCCAGCTAGGCCGCATAAGATGACGCGAGCCACCACGCTGCCGGCGCAGAGCACAGACAGAGTAATGTATGCCAGCTCATGGAGGACTTGTCTTGCGCCTCTTGGCGAAGAGTTCCACGGCTGCTGCTGCTGCTGCCATTCTCTTGACAGCTGCGCGGACTGCTGGCTCCTCAGTCAGCGCCTCGACACCCGCGGCCTGGAGGAACTCCCGAAGGTCGTCGACGTCGTCCGTCTCCATGGGCACGGTTTTGGTAGACTGTGCTGACAGTGGCGGCGGCACCTCTAGCCCTTGGGACCCAGCGGGTCCACTCGAGCCTGCAGCTAGTGCCTCAGGTCGGCGTTGCTTCCTTGTCCTTAGCCGCCGCCTGGGTGGCAAGGTCGCGGAGCTCGTCAAAGCACTGTGCACCGCTTCCTTCGAGGGCGCCATCGGCGCCCAGGCTCTTGAGCATGTCGCCCAGCTCCTCAACTGGCAGGTCGAGCGCTGGCACCATCGCTTGCAGACTGAAAGTGCCTGGGGCCACGGTGGGCGCCTTGGCCGAAACCTTCCGACGCAGAGCTTCCAGTTCCTGAATTTCAGCATCGACCTCCACGACTGCCGCCTCGAGCTGGCTGATGGTGGCCTCCAACCCCTTCTTCTTGAGCTGATGGGCCTCGATCGCCTCCTGCTGCTCTGCACGTTTCTTCTGCAGCGCCTCGGTTCTCGCAATGTAGTGGTGCAGCTGCCCAGTGAACAACTTGCTGCGGACGATTCGAGACTTGATCTCGTCCCGCTCAGCCATGAGGTCTGTCTTTGCCGCCATGACGCCAGGCTCGCTGATCTCTCCGATGTGCTTGAGCGTGGCCGCGATCTCCGAGAGCCGCTTCAGCTCGGGGTCGGGGTCAGCAGCCCCCTGGGATCTGCCTGCCGTGGCCGTGTCTGCTGCACCCTGCGCACGGAGCTGTTCGCGTAGACGCTGCAGCTCGCGGTCCTTCTTCTTGAGCAGCTCCTTGTCGCCCTTAGACTGCAACTCCTTCTGCTCAGCAGCGGCCAACCGACTGGGAGGGGCCTGGAGCGGTTTGTTGCTGCCAAAACTGGCACCCTTCGCAACCGAGCACATCGAGCAAGCAGTGAAGTCTCCTCTGTTTCACCACTTCTCTCCAGTCTTGGCGTGCGTGCAGCACCACTTGCGTAGCCAGGGCGCGGCCCAGGCCTGGCGGCTGCTCGCACGTGAGGGCGGCTGGCGAGAACGTCCCGCCGGGGGCGCCATGAGCCTGCCGTGGTCCGAACGTTCACGGCCAATTGTACATGCGACCTCCAGAAATTTCCAGGAAGGGTGTGGAGGAGATGGTGGAGGTTGTGAGCATGGGAGCGGGAGGAGCTGGACGCCTGACAGTTCAAAACCAATGGAGGGCCGCGTGGCCCTCGCTCTCCTGATCCTCACCCTCGCGAGCCTCGCCCTCCTGATCCTCACCCTCCTCATCCCCTCTCGCATACAAGCACACGAAGCACACGGTCCTTCTTCTGTATACAGAAACCCCCGATCAACCGCAAAGCGGCCGGCTCGTAAATCATTACAAAGACGCATGCCCACAGAGACGTGTAAGGATACTGCACGTGTCATGATTACGCCTCAGCGTGACTGAGCGAGCTGCCCGCACCTCAATAGAGCAAAGCTGCAGAGAGAGAGAGAGAGACATAGTACAGTATAATGAGAGACACACACACGTACATACATACATAGAGAGAGAGAGAAAACAAAAAAAAAGAAAAAAACAGCGAAGAGAAACATAAACAGAGACAGTAGAGAGGGAGAGAGAAAGAGAGAGATAATTAGGGAGAGAGAGAGAGAGAGAGAACTAGAGAGAGAGAGAGAGAGAAATAGAGAGAAGGGGAGAATGAGGAAGCCCGGCTACATGGCACCCGCGAACATGCAAGCGTGGTAGATGTGCGCGGTAGCGCAGCCGGATAATCATCTGAGCCTCCAGCCGAAGGGTGGTGCAACATCCCATTATCAGACACAACGGGACAATCAGCCTGCATCTTGAAAATGGCATTGACCGTCAACATCACGTGGTTCATAAAACCTGTTATTGGAAAACCCGCCAACCCTCTACGAAGGGCAATGTGCCACGGCCGAACGTTCCCCACGTCTTTTCACCTCCTGCCAACGCCTCCGGCAAGACGCAAGCGGTGAAAGCCCCTGGGGCCCCCAGACCCCTGCAAGCGTGGCTCCTTGGAACATTACAAAAGCTGAAACGAAACTCGGAAACGGGGTCGGTGACAGAGCATAAGCCTCAAGAATCTAACTCCTCGTCTCCAAGAGGGTCCGCTATCACATATGAAATCAGCAAGATACCCTGGTATAAGCAAGTGAGCACGCATAATGCAAACACTTGTTCCACAATCCGCTGACCCCCACTTACCGGGGATGAAAAGGCGTGTGAGATTGTATGCTGTTCCACTCCCCCCTTCCCCCTCCCCTGAGGTCCAATGCCCTCTCGGCAGAGGGGAGACCCTGGGTCGACTTGCAAGAATCTCCAAACCCAAAGCTGCTGAAACCCAGCTTGTCGTGTCACACTTTCTAGCCCCTACCTCACCCGAGCAATGTCCATGGGCTCCTCATTTCGTCTGGGGGTCGGCGGAATGGCGTGAGCCTCTTGAGTAACATAAAACTGTGAATCAACCAAACTCTGCGCGACCACAAAGCCAGTGCTCACTGCCATCACAATATTCTGAATGTTCACCAAACAAGAAATCAAGTGAACGTACCCGAACGGCAGCGGTGTCTCCATGTAGGTGTTCAGCATGAGCATCGCATCTTTGGCTTCGAGGCAACGGGACATCAAGAAGGAGGTTCGTGGGGCCGGGTTGCGGTTGTAGTCCATCGCCGACAAGGAGATGCGCATTATCCACGCCCAGCAAACCATTGGCCTTCGCAGTGAGAAGGAGGTGTCCCCCAGACACACGAACACCGCCTTACGCCCACGCCCCATCTGACCACCTGGCCCCAGAGAAGCAACACTGCAACGAAATTGAAAAGTCGCGCATATAACTCGATGCATGCTTCATTTTGCACTGCGACCGTTGCTGACAATGCTGCGTGCTTCAACACGCAGGGTAAAACTGCACACAAGACACACGTATCCAAATGCATTCAACCACCCAAGCGTTCACAAATCGCGACTCTGCCGCCGACGGCGGTGCGGTTTTCTGTTTTCCACAAGCCGCTAACGGCTTGCGTTCAGGGTATACATGTTTCGTTCAACAATTGGGTGGTCGCCCCGCTGGTGCCCGCCTCGTGCGCTGGCGGGTGACTTCGGGTTTCACCCAACGGGCGCCAGTGGGCCTTTCGTGGGCCTCGTGCGCCGAGAGAGTGCCGGGGTTTCGCCCAATGTGCGCCTGCGGGCGCCTCATGCATTGGGTGGTGTGCGGGAGGGTTCGCCTGGTGGGCGCCCGCGGGCGCCCCGAGCTCCAGCTTGCGCGACGCAGGTTGCACACACAGCTAGAACTACATGCTACATAGATTGCACTACGTAGCACGCACCACAAGTAGGAACGAGCCTCCCTCGTCCTCGTCCCCGTCCTCGTCGTCCTCGTCCTCCTCCTCCTCCTCCTCCTCCTCCTCCTGCTACTCCTCCTCCTCCTCGTCCTCGTCCTCGTCCTCGCCCTCGTCCTCCTCCTCCTCCTCCTCCTCCCCCTCGCCCTGCCCAGAGATCGCCTCTCCCAGGGGTCACGCAAGTTCTCCAGCGCCTGCCGCTGGTGGCGGTTTATGAGGCCGTCGGACACCTGCGGCTGGAGCCATGGGGAGCAGGAGGAGGAGGAAGAGAAGGAGGAGGGAGGAGGAGGAGGAGAAGCCGCCCACACAAAAACCACATCAAACCTCTTACAAGAGCAAATTGCACTAGTACGTGACGATGACCGCAGGCATGGGAGTTACTATGTAGACTACCACGGGAGTGCTCATACCTCGCGCGACGGTGGAGCATTCCGCATGCACAGAAAGCAAGTGGTACATCACGACTTCCTCGCCAACTACTACTTCTTCTTCGATTACCGCAGAAGTCTGATTTCTGAGCTCTCCTCTGCTGTTTCTTTGGCGTTCAGCCTTACAAGGGCTCCTCCTGCTGTCGTCTGCGTCTTTTCACTTTCCCTCCCTTCCTCACCCCCTTTCAAAGACAAGGTCGCCTGACTTGCCCGTGTCTACCGTTGACTGGGCGCCTCCTCCCCCCCAGACGCCGTACCCCCACTGGCCGTTGAGGACAGCAGATGCACTGTACATCCCCTTGCGGATGCATCGGACATATGTTCCCTCCTCTCTTAGTGACTGACCTCCCCTGCTCTCCCACTCTTCCCCGTCGTTGCTGCTTGCTGTTGCGCCCCACTGGTACACATCACATCGCTTTACCGCCCTTGCTGAAACACCTTATTCGAAGACTCGTTTCTTCCACACGTCTAGCTCACTCCGTTACGCCCTGCGCTCTTTTTACCATTCGGGCCCCCCTGACCCGCTGACCAGGGTGGGCCCCTGAATTGTGCCCGCAGCCCAACCATGTAAGCATCTAGGCACTGCATAGGTCTCGTGAGGAGGTGGAGGAGAAACACACTCTTACTTTGCGGGCCCCCCGACCCCTTGGGCAGGGCGGGCCCCACCGTTGCGCCAGCAGGCTAGCCTTTTTTTCAGGCCAGCCTTACACAATGCACAGCTTCACAATGCTGTATGACAGCAGCACCTCCACTGCCACAGCTTGCAATATACTTCGCTCTTGCCCCACTTCAGTGTCTGCCCTATGTCTCAGGCATGGGACGCGGGGGGTGGGTGGTGGAATCTGGAGGTTAGCATGCGGTGGGGAAGCACCGTCTCACTTTGCGGCCCACCGACCCCTTCGGCAGGGCGGGCCCCACCGTTGCTTCAGCAAGCTAGCCCTTTTTTCGGCCAGCCTTACAACACGCACAACTCATATTACTACGTTACAGTGACATCTCCACTGCCACAACTTGCGGTATACCTCTCTCTTGCTTCACTTCAGTTTCAGCCCTATGCCAGGCTCGGGCATGGGACGTGCGGGTGGGGTGGTGAATTGTGGACTTTGGGTGGCGAGGAGGAGACTCACATTTTTACTTCGAGGGCCCCCTGGCCCCCTGGGCAAGGCGGGCACAACCGTAGTGCCAACAGGCCAGCCTCTTTTGCGTAGGCCAGCTTTGCACAGTGCACAGCTCCAGGTTGCTGTGCTACAGCAGCATCTCCACTGGCACAGCTTGCAATATACCTCTCGTTTGCTTCACTTCAGTTTTAACCTTATGCCAACCTCAGACATGGGACGTGGGGGTGGGGTGGTGGAGCTGGATTGTGAGGTGGAGGAGGGGATGCCCATTACGTACTGTACGCCCCCCCCCCTGACCCCATTGGACAGGGCGGGCCACACCGTAGCGCCCGTAGGCCAGCCTTACACAATGCACAACTTCAGGTTGCTGCGTTGCAGAAACATCTCCACTGGCACAACTTGCAATATACCTCTCTTGTTCTTCACTTCAGTTTCGACCCGTCACGCTTCTTAGCCTCGTTACCTACCTTTGGGAACTCGTATGCCGCATGCTTCCTGCATATCTACAGTCCCGCAGGCCTACCTTAGGGGAGAACGAAAGCCACAATGGTGGCCACAATGACGGGGGACCACCCCCCAGGAACTGAAACGGTGAAATGGCCTCCCCTGAGAAACCGAAAAGAGCATGGGTAGCAGCCCAAGAATGGTTGTTTTTCTTCACTTGGGCCAGCCAGCAGAGTCTGCGCCAACCCCAACGCCTTTCACACCTCTTAGGCCCGCCGCCGTACCTACTCTTAAATCGGGCGTGTCCCCCTACAGGGGGATTGTGGACGAAGAATTAGAAATAGCCAAAACATACTCCAACATGGTCAAAAACTGGTCCGAAAATAGTCACCAGACTTTTTATGGACTATTTCTGAATATTCCCCCTGTAGAGTGACAGGCCCGACTGAAACCTACTCCCTGTTTGTACAGTTGACTGCCCTTTTACTCACTGGGCCAGCCAACACAACGTTGTGCCAGTACCAACCATACCTTTTTTTACGCCCCGTGCTTGCATCACATTCACATTTGCGTACGCACATGCTGGCAAGCCTTTCTGTTGCACTCTGCCTTCAGCCACGGCAGGCCTGCATCATAAAAAAAGAAAAACATCAGGTTACGGAGGTTGGCATTTCGACGTTGGAGGAGGGGGATACCTACTGAGGTACAAAGGCAGACCGTGTCGTACCACCTGGCGGGCGTCTACTCCAGGTCCGCCCTTTGAACTTTCCTTTTCCGCGGCGCCCGCCAGGTGACTTTGCTGTACCACTGCGCCAAGTCGGTTTTACATATGTCTTTATTTAGCACTAGAACGCGACAAACTTGCGCTTCACGTCTGGGCAACTCAGAAAAGGAGGACGAGGAGGAGGAGGAGCACGAGGCGGAGCACGAGGAGGACGACGAGGGGGAGGGGGGGGAGGAGGGGGAGGGGGAGGGGGAGGGGGAGGGGGAGGGGAGGAGGAGGAGGAGGAGGAGGAGGAGGAGGAGGAGGAGGAGGAGGAGGAGGAGGAGGAGGAGGAAGGAGGAGAGGAGGAAGAGAAGGAGGAGGAGAAGAAGGAGGAGGGGGATGGGAAGGAGGGTGGAGGAGGGGGGAGAAGGGAGGAGGAGGAGGGAAGAGGAACGTGCGTGCCACAAGGATGTATAGATTGACCCTGCCGCCCGTCTCAGCGCCCGCTCTCGGCTTGCCGAGAGTGGAGGAGCAGGCGCGGCAGATGGAGGGGACCGAGCACCGCAAAGTCTTTGGACTGGGCGGACGGCACATCGCAAGACCATTGCGAGCTGGCCCAACAAGGCCAGCTGCCAGATGAGCGACGATCAGAAACAGGTCTTACGCGAGATGGCATAGTGACCTTACGCCGCAGCTTACGCGGGCCCCCGCAGCATGCTACGCTGGAAACGAAGACGCTTACGCGCGACCTTACGCGGGCAGCTAACTGACTTGCCAGAATCGGCACAGTCGAGCACCCGTTTCTCTGCGTCGCCCAGAGGGACCCGAAGGGCGACGGCGCAGAAGCACTGCGAAGCAGAAGCACGCCCGGCCGCGCGGAGGCCAGCGGCAGAGGGGGGGCGGCACCAGCCGGTCGAGGTCCGGCCTCCTCCGCGCCGCCTGCACGATCAGGTCGATGGAGTCGGCGGCGCGCCGGGGGAAGCGAACGAGACCAGGCTAGGGCCGGGGCAGAATCGGACCGCGACAGATCGGGGACCTCTGAGATCCGGCGGGCCTGGAGGATGTATCGGGCGCGGGGGCCGTTCCAGAGCGCTCCGGGACGTTGTGTGAGACCTCCGGAATGCTCTGGAGCGATTCCTCCCGGTCCTGGGCCCGCCCGATGGAGGGGGGGCAAGCCTTCCTAGGAGGCGGCGGGTCTTCTCGGAGGCCCTGTGGCCCTCTGAGAGGCCCTCTGTGGCTTTGGAGAGGGCTCAGGCAGGGCCCCCAAACCATGACGTGGCAAACCAGGACGTGGAGAAAACGCAAAATGGAACACGTTTCGACCCATGGCTGAAGTTTTCTCGGGTGCACACGTTTCGACGGCTGCAATTTCGAACCACGTTTCGACCATGGCCCACGTTCGACCCATGGCCGACGTCGTGGTTCATTTGAGTCCCCGCTTGAGGGGCCCCTGACCCAGGAAGGCTTCTCGGGGGCCAGATGCCTTCTGTGCCTGCTGCGGGGGCCTGGGCCCTCCGCCTCTGGAGGCCCCCCTGACGGGTTCGGAGGATCTCGCCGCATCCACCGCCGATGCATCGCCGATGCATCGGCGACGTCGGCGACGCATCGGCGCCGTCGGCATGGAGAAAATCGGGCTCAACGTCGGACCGCATCGGCGATGCATCGGCGATGCGACGCGATCCTCCGACCCCATCTGCTCGAACCCCCTCTGGGAGGCAGTAGAGCTTCTGAGCCTTCTGCGTGGAAGGCTCGCACCCTCCGCCTTCTTGAGGGGCACGACTAAGGTGGGACTGGCGCAGGAGGGGGTGAAACATCGGCATAGAATGGGCGACGCATCGCCGATTGATCGGCGATAGGCCCCCGATGGCGAATCCGGACGTTCCTGAGCAGGGGTGGGACTATCGGACCCCTCTCGGCGATCGATGGGCGCTTGGGGGCCGATGCATCCCTCCCCTGAGCCTACGCCCCCTTAAGGTTGCGGTCTCCTTTCGGGCGAGCGAGGGGGGGGAAACGAGAAGGAGACGGCCTTCTCAGAAGGCGGCGGGACTTCTCAATACCCCCCGCGCCTTCTGAGAAGTGTTCCGTGTCTTCGGGGAAGGCTTTGAAAACTTCTCAGAAGGCCAGGGGACTTCCGAGCCTTCTGGCAAGGCCCGCCCCTTCTCACTTCCCTCCGAGCTCGCCGCCGAAAGGAGGAGGAGGAGGAGGAGGAGGAGGAGGAGGAGGAGGAGGAGGACCAGCGTGAACCCAAGGCTCATCGACGATGTTCGAATACACCCTCCCTCCAAACTACCTCTTCACAAACCCCTACAAGAAATTTCTGCAAATGTGTAAAAAGAATGCGCGCGGCGCTTAGATGAGAACCACATTTTGAAAACGACCCGCCCTCAATCCGTGAAGCTCTTGCATTTTGTTCAATGAATGTGCGCGGTGCTAAGGCGAGAACCGCATTTTGAAAACGACCCGCCCTCAATCCATGAATCTCTTGCATTTTTTACGACTGTGCGCGGCGCTAAAGCGAGAACCACATGTTGAAAACTACCTCCCCTCAATTTGTGAAACTGTTGCCACTTCTCAAGCTTCTGGATCATAAACAGTGAGGAAGCCTCAAGCGAAACGCCCGGCCCGCCCTTTCGACCGGCCTTGGGGTGCGACAGGGAAGAATTATCAGGCAAGGATGGAGAAGGCGTAGGCTCCGGACAGAAACCGTCGTTGCTCCTGGCTTCCCCCCCAGTCCCGCGCCGCGCCCCGCGCTGCCCGTTCATCTTCGAGCCCTCGTGCCACCGCCCTGGAGAAGGGCGCCTCTCCAACCCGAGCGGCGATGTGCGAAGCGCGGTCACCTTCGCGCCCCCCCAGGGGGTGACCCGTGCAGTTCCCCCGTGGGCGCGCCACCGAGATGGAGGCGATGCTGAACTTCGCCACCGTGACGCGCACGGTCTCCCACCTTAGGTGGCGACATCCGAACCCCACCCCCAACCATCGGTTCTCCTGAATCGATGGGTGGGGTTCGGATTTTGCCGCGAGTTCGGCGAATTCCACAACCTACCCTCGCAGTAGGGTTCGGCCTTCGCCGCCGACACCTGGCTCGGTGGGCGCTCGCTCGGCGCGCGTTTTTCTGGCTGCCGCCCCCCCTCCTCGAGGGAGGGAATTCGGCGGGCCGCCTCGCCGATCCTGCCAGGCTCGATCCTGGGCCCAGGATCGGTGTGCTCATTTGTATATACACATCTGTGCATGTGTACACATGTCTTGAGACATGCATGCGCATGAATATGCGTATGAACAGATGCTTGTACGTTCGCCCTCGAGGTTTCTCTCTCTCTCTCTCTGTATATATGTATATATACAGGTGTAATGCATCTGCATGTGTAAATGTAAATGTACGTATGCACGTGTAGTGTGACACAAATGTGTATGCATGCATGTATATATATATATATATATGTTGCACGTATGTAAAGATGAGACCAGAGAAACACCATATGAACACATGCTATAGGGCTATGAGGCTATAGGGCGATGGGGCTGTGAGGCTATGAGGCTATATGGCTATAGAGCTATTGGGCTAAGGGGCGATAGGGCTATTGGGCTGTAGGGCTATGGGGATATGGGGCTTTAGGGTTATTGGGCTATAGGTATATAGGGCCACAGGGCTACAGGGCTATAGAGCTATGGGGCCATATAGCTATAGGTCTCTAAGGCTATAGGGCTATAAGGCTATAGAGCTATTGGGCTTTTGGGCTATCGGGCTATAAGGCTATAGTGCTAGAGAGCTATAGGGCTATAAGGCTGTAGGGCACCTGGGCACCCGGGCACCTGGGCACCCGGGAACCCAGGCACCCGGGCGGGCCGCGGAAATCGGTGGCAAAACTCACCTAACCATATGGTACTGGAGAAATACCTCAACCAACGTGTTTCTAGGGCTACAGGACTATGGACTATTGGGCTATAGGGCGATGGGCTATGCGGCTATAGGGCTATGGGGCTGTAGGGCTATAGGGCCATAGGGCTATAGGTCTGTAGGGGATATGGGGCTATAAGGCTATAGGACTATAGGGCTGTAGGCATATAGAGCCATAGGGCTATAGGGTTATAGGGCCATAGGGCTATAGGGCTATAAGGCTATAGAGCTATAGGGCTATAGGGCTATAGGCTATACGACTATAAGGCTATAGGGCTATATTGCTATAGGGATGCGGGGCTATAGGGCTATTGGGCTATAGGGCCATCGGGCTATATGGCTATGGGGCCATAGGGCGGTAGGGCCGCAGGGCTATAGAGCTATAGGGCTCTAGGGCTATAGGGCTATAAGGCTAAGGCCATGAGGCTATAGGCCTATAGGGCTATAGGCCTACAAGGCTATTGGGCTATAGGGCTGTAGAGCTATAAGGCTATCAAGCTTTATGGCTATAAAGTACCCGAGCACCTGGGCACCCGGGAGGGCCGCGGAAATCGGTGGCAAAGCTCGCCTAACCATATGAATCTGCTAGGACCCCTATAGAGGCAAGCTCTGATTGGGGAATGAATCCGCTAGGAGGCAAGCTCTGAATGGGGAATGAATCCGCTAGGACCCCTACAGAGGCAAGCTCTGATTGGGGAATGTATACACACCCGTCACCGTTCCCTGAAGCACGAATTGGAGTGTCCTCAGGTCCCTTCGAGTTCTCTGAGCTGAATTCCGCAATTACGTTTTAAGGGGCCCACAACCCAGAGTTCTGGGCACTCCCGCGAGGTACCCGCGTGATTTTTCGAGCGGCCAAAAGCGCACTGTTCGGGACATGCATGTCCAACGTGGTTTCAGATGGCCCCGGGAACCGTCCTGGAGCCCTCTAGGGCGCCTCTTGGACCGTTTTGGAGACCCTGAAGGGCGGCCCAAGAGGCCAACATCGTCAATGTCTACTGCTTTTATTGTGCGGCTTTCGCATTGCCGCCCTTGTGGTTTTCAGAGTGTCCAACGAGGCCCAAGAGGCGCCCAAGATCGCCCCAAAACTGCCCAAGAGCCCCCAACAGGGGCACCAGAGGCCCCCAAGACGGCCCCAAGGCCCAAGACGGGCCCAAGATGGGGAACACGAACTGACTGACATTTGGAGCCCTCCGCCCCAAGATGGCCTCAAGATCCCCCCACAAGCCCACGACGTGCGCCCAAGAGGCCCCAAGAGGCCCCCAAGACGCCTCAAGGCACCCCCAAAACCGCCTTCAAGAGGCATCCGAGAGGCCTCCCAGGAGATCCTCACAAGCATCCAGGATGCCTCTGACCTACAACACAGGCGCGGTGGCGGGATAGGCCAAAAGCTTTTTTGTGTGGCGAGGGTACACGGCAGCGTCTCCGGCACGTCACTCTCGGACGTGGGCTTGACGCCATCGAGCGGCAGCTGGCGGCTGAACCAGTGCTTCGCACCGACCTGGACGGACAGACCATCGGCGACGATGACGTTTTGCGGAGCCGCAGCTGCGTCATGCCCAGCATTGCGCGCGTCTGCTGCATGTACGCGCTGGTGCTGCATGTGCAGGGCCGCCACAGCCGTCGCCTTCCTATCCTTCGGCGTCGTCGGCTTCGCACTCGAGGGCCGAGGCCGTGCCCTTCGTGTCTGCGGCTGTCTGCGAGGGCCACAGCATTGGAATAGGAACTCTGTGCGGGTAGCACGGTTTGACCACGGTGTCCTCCCTGGACTTACCCCTGATGCAACTGCACGAGCTCTTGCACAGGCGCCTCGTGTCGGTGGCCTGGTTCGGGAACCTCTTGGTGTGGGTGTCTGGGAGAATGATCTGTCCAAGGTTCGGGAGGCTTTCCATGCCTAATTGGCACTTGAGCAGTGGCTTTGTGGTGCAACTCGGGAACCGTTTAGTGATAGACGCAGTGGTCGTTGCGATGGTCTCCATGATAATCGTCATGCCTTTTCGGGCTTGTCGGCCTCGTCGGTCTGCTCTTCTTCCTCACGAACCCTCAGTACGACTCACAATGGCTCTGGTGTGCTTCCTGCCGTAGAGGTCGGTGTGCCTGTTGTGATGAACCTCTGTGTGGACAGCCTCGCCGTATGCATTGGGAGATCTGCTGTTGCGCATTCGGCGACTGT